TTCAGGCACTTCATATGTCAGATCGATCGGAACGAACTGTCGAAAACAAAGTTTTTGTTTTACGAATTATTTTTGTTTTTTTTCAAGATATCTTGATCAATCTCGGCATTTATAAGTTTCAGTATTCATTCTTCATGAATGGAAATTCTAATTTGTATCAGCTTCGATAAGTATGTATTCTTTTAAATCTAAGAATTATAACTAAGCCCGGAAATCATTGGTTGGACTATGATGCTTACACACGAGCTAAGTCTACAAACTACTATATTATTCTGGACTTTAGGAACGATTAGTAGAAAATGAGTTTTATGGCAAAATATTCTTTTCTTCAAGATGTTTTTAAAAGTCTGCGCAATTACGACCTTCACAATGGTATTAATATTCGGCCGAAGACATACTTTGAACCCATACCTGAACCTATTCAAAATGGGTATAAGGGTATATTGTATTTGTGGAAAATCCAAATGTATGTAACAGGCAGAAGGAAGGATCTCCGACCCCATAAAGTATATATATTCTTGATCAACATCAATAGCTGAGTCGATCTAGCCATGTCCGTCTGTCTGTCCGTCCGTCCGTCCGTATATATGAACGCAAGGATGTCAGAACCTATAAGAGCTAGAGATCCCGCGCATATCGAGTTTGTTTCCGATAACCGATAACTAACTCCGTCCAAGCAATCGATAAAAATCAATATCGATATCCTGTTTTTTGGGCAATTTTGGTAAATAATAAGAGCTAGAGTCACCAAACTTGACATATAGCTTCTAAAATAGAATATATATATGCATTTGATGTTGGAAGAAGAGGGTTCAGGGTATCCCCTAGTCGGGAGCTCCCGACTAGAACCTCATAAGAAGGTTCGATATTAGACAACAAATGTTCATACATTTCACAGATATTTGAAACAAAGGAGCATAAAATTATTACATTATCTAAAAAAAAAATACCTAAGTAGCATAAAATACCCCAAATCCAACAATATTTTAAACTGGCATTTCCGACGGGATTTTTAAATCTGTGTAAACGCGTTATACCGTGTAGCAGTTGACATTTGAAAATCAGCTGACGATTGGACAAAAATAGTGAGAGATTTGGTAGAAAGTAAAGGGTACGAGAACTTTTACATTGCTAATCAAACTTCAGATTTTTATACCCTGAACCCATTATAAATGGGTATAAGGGTATATTCTATTTGTGCAAAATCCAAATGTATGTAACAGGTAGAAGGAAGCATCTCCGACCTCATAAAGTATATATATTCTTGATCAGCACCAATAGCCGAGTCGATCTAGCCATGTCCGTCTGTCTGTCCGTCCGTCCATCCGTATGTATGAACGCTAGGATCTCAGAACCTATAAGAGCCAGAGAAATTTTAGATGTAGATGCCCCTAGTTCCCGCGCAGAGCGAGTTTGTTTCCGATAATCGATAACTTACTCCGTTTCCAAGCAATCGATAAAAATCCATATCGATATCCTGTTTTTTGGCCAATTTTGGTAAATAATAAGAGCTAGAGTCACCAAACTGGACATATAGCTTCTAAAATAAAATATATATATGGATTTGATGTTGGAAGAAGAGAAGAAGAGAGTTCAGGGTATCCCCTAGTCGGGAGCTACCGAGTAGAACCTCTTACTTGATCACGTGAGGCCGATGGAAATAACCAAGAAGAGATATGATCACATTTAAGTTATTATTGATTGATTTTGAAAGTTTGTATGTTTCAATCCAACTAGCAGCACATGAGCCGAATAGGTTATAACTTGTTTAGAGCGACAGGCTGTTAATTCTGGTAACCCATATGGGATTGTGTCAGAAAAAGGAGCGGCGCTTACAGTGCATCTTTTTAAAGATTACTGCCAGAAGCATATAATACAGTATTTGCTGGGACACCACAGGTGTCCCAAGCATGCAAGATAAGAATAAACGAGCATTTGATTTGAAAAAAGCGATATAAGATAGACGAATTGGTTGCGATTAAGCGTACTAAGTAAGGAGCAGGGTTGAAGTTAAAGGGAAGATATCTCGGTCCATACAAAAAAAAAAAAGGAGGAGATGTAAAAGGTCCTTGTTAAACGTTTAAACTCATAAAAGAATTAGGGAAGAATTCCATGTCAGAAGCAAGTAGCCGAGCGGGCAATGCGCAGAGTTCGTCGTTATTGATCAACGGCAACAATAGAGAGCCAGACGGCTACAAGCAACTTTACGTAGCAGGCAGAAGGAAGCATTTTCGACACCGTATGTATGAACGCAAGAATATCGATAACGTACACCGTTCCCAAGCAATCTATAGAAAGCGATATCGACATCCTGTTTTATAAGAAAATTAGGTAAATAATAACAGCAGTTTATTTACGCAACCGATTACCCACGAGCGCGCTTACAAATATGACGCCCATGGAAGCATGGATTGGTAAAAAACCTTCAATTTGTCATTTAAAAGTTTTTGGTTCCATTCCAGTGGCTTTGGAAAAGGATAAGCGGCTAAGCAAATTAAGTGCCAAGGGTCGGATATGCCATAGATTCAAAAGGATATCGGTTGTATAATCCGAGCACTGGGCAAGTGGTCGAGAAGAGAGATATGCTGTTCGATGAGCAATGCGGCAGTGAGCAGGGCGATACTGGAGCCGTTACATTTGATTTGCCATCGTGTGCACTGAAAAATGAATGTCAATCGAGCGCATCGACAGGGATAGCTCATACGACGTAGCCAACGTCGGCTTAAATAATGGCAGTGGCTCAGACGACGAAGCCATCGTCGGCTTAAATAATGGAAATGACTCAGAAGACGAAGTCAACGTTGGCATAAAAAATGACAGTAGTAGCGACAGTTTCGTCAGTGCAGACGAGGAACTACGTTTAGGGCCAGGTAGACCAACATTTTTTTGCACTGGAAAGCTTAGAAGACCTAAGAAGCAATATAATATTCTTTGAGCAGTGGAAGGCCGCGACATAAAAATTCCTACATCCTATGCTGCATTATGGCGTGATGCAATGAACAGAGAGTACGACTCTCTGATGTTGAATAAAACGTGGCACGTTGAGAAATTGCCAAAAGATCAACGCGCAATTGGCTGCAAATGGTTTTCAACATCAAAGGATGAGCGGATGATCAAGTAGAGCGATACAAGGCACGTCTTGCAGCGAAGGGATATGCACAGAAATATGATATGAACTTTAATGAAATATTTTCACATGTATGCAGACCGGAGAGTGTACGTTTCATTCTAGTTCTGGCTGCTGAGCTAAAGCTGCATTTGCACCAGATGGACGTGTGATAGTGACCTAGCAGACACCATTTACTTGAAACAACCATTGAGCCTAACCTAATGACCAGCCGAACAAGGTCCTATTGCTGAAGAAACCCATCTATGGGCTGAATCAAGCGGGAAGGGAGTGGAACAGCAAGCTCGATGGAGTATTGCGACAAATTGGATTTGTCCCTTGTGAACATGAACCTTGCTTGTACCAGAATAAGAAGGACAGTGTTGCTAAGATACTGGTTTACGTAGATGACCTTATCATAGCATGTCAAAATAAAGATGATCTGTATAGCATAAAAGCATATAGGTCCAACGGGAAGGCGAATTGGGTGAAATTACCTTATGTCAGACGCAATACATACGCGATTTGCTGCGTCGTCAAAGCATGGAAAACTGCAGATCATCCGCCACGCCTTTGAAGGCAGGATACGATGCCGACTGGGGTGGGACAGGACGAATCGTCGGTCGAAGACTGTGTATGTGTTTTTCCTAGCTGGAGGGAAGTCGGAGAACAGAAAAGTGTTGCTTTCAGTAGAACAGAATCCGAGTACATAGCATTATCGTCCGCATGCAAGGAGGCAATAGCATTGCGAAGTCGATCTTATTGTGCACTATATAGCACAATAATGTATATTCTCAAAAAGTAAATTACATAGATGTTATGCCAGCTTATACTATCCACCAATATAAGCGGTGGATAGTATAAACTGGCTTATTTATTATACCCTTGCAGAGGGTATTATAATTTTGTCTTCAAATGTGTAACGCATAGAAGGAGGCATCTTTATGTACTTCGGTCCGGCTGTCCGTCTGTTTGTTTCTATGCGAACTAGGTCTCAGTTTTTAAGCTATCTTTAGAAAACTGTGCAGAAGTTTCTGTTCCGCGCAATACATATGTCGGAACCAACTGGATCGGACCACTATATCATATAGTTGCAATGGGAACGATCGGTTCGAACTCGCACCTAACCGCACCACCTGCCGCCGTCTTCACTCAACAGCCACAGCCGGCAAAAAAATAAATAAATAAAATAGCTTTCTCGGCAGGGCCCGATCTCGTGACAGACAACACCATATGCCACCGCCTCTACTCAATAGGCCCACCAATAGTTAAGTCTCAGTGAGAAAAAACGAATTTAAATAGCCGCAAAGAAAACAATACAATCGCAATCACAATGTTGTTGCTCAAAAAACAGGATGTCGATATTCGATTTTTACCGATTACTTGGAAACGGAGTATGTTATCGATTATCGGAGAAAAACTCGATCTGCGCAGGCACTAGGAGGACCTACAGTTAAATTACAAGTCTCCAGCTTTTATTTGTTCTGATATTCTTGCGTTCATACATATGAACAGACGGACGGACAGACCGACAGACATGGCTTGATAGACTCGGGTTTTGATGCTGATCAGGAATATATATACTTTATTAAGTCGGAAATACTTTCTTCTGCCTGTTACATATATTTGCACAAATAATACCCTTTTTGGCCGTTTTAGATGGGTTCAGGGTATAATAAGACCATCTAAATTTCTCTTGTTTCTTTACTTAATTTGCACATTGTGTGTTCTGTCAATGTAAGAAAGGTATTTAAAACACATGTTATAAGTGAGTTGTGAGTAACCAGCTCCCCAACCAGGCGCCAAATAATAATAATAATCCCTATTAACTTAATGTATCTATAATTCTGTTGTATAATTACAATAAATAACGGAGAATAAAATGACAGCGTACCTTTATTTTCACAGCATACAGTCCGTCACTATTTTTCTTTTAATATTGCAGTTGTGGACCCAGGACATAAGAAGGTTCGAGATTAGTCACCAGATATTCATAAATTTCACAGAAATTCTGAACAATTGTTAAGAAAATCATTACATTATCGTACTGGCTTACTTCTCTAAAAAAAAATTGTTATGTATCAAATAATGCACCTCATCCAAAAATATTTTAAGCTAGCATTTCTGACTAGGTTTTGTTCGCGAGCGTTTAGGCAAGGCCATTAATCGCCTGTCCCAGCACTTTAGATCAGCTCTATCAATTTTTTATTAACAAAGTTATAATAGCAGTCACCGTCTTCATCGTTTAATAATTATATGAGTCTACAAAAAAAAAGAATAATCTGTAATCTATGGCTTGTAAGGTACTTATTTATGAATACAATTCGTATGCGCATCCTGCTTATAACTTTCGTATTATTTCGACATCGGACTTTCAAAATTTCCTTAATCTAAGACCGAATTTGCTCCGCGCTAAGCCCAACTAACATTAGGCTGCAATTTAAGTAAATTCTATTGATGAAGGTTCAGATCTGCGCCAACAACACCCACCATGAAGCAACTATGGGTTTCATTAAATAGGGAGCCTTGCCAGATTGTGGACCTTTCTTTTTAATTATCGTCCATTGGCCGTTCTAACTTCTGCCACCCTAATATCGCGTCCCTCTAGAGCCTTGCCGTAGCTTGGGTCCTTGCTGAGCGCTACCAAGGGCCAGGAATTGAACACGACTTTCACTGCAACTAGAGTCGAGTGCAGCTCTTTGGTCGTTAACAGCAGGCCGTCTACCGCCCGTAGGTGCCTTGCAGACGCCTGCTTCAAACAGACTGCCGTTTTTTGATACGAAATCGCAAATTACGTCCACCTCTTCATTGATTCGAGCTCGCAACTCCCATAACTAGCGACGACAATCTTCGTATCGTCGCAGTGAATGATCTGTAACAGTAGTCTACGGCTGGCAAGATACGATTATATATATATACGATATATACGTAGACTTTGCATGTATGTCTTTTTATGGATACTAAATTGAAGCAGAGTTGAATAGTCTTTTTGGTTGGCCGGTCCAAACATAAGAAGGTCATTTAACGCAATTTAAGACGAAGTCCGTCAGGACGTTTTGTGGCCTTAAGACACACTGAGGCAAAATGAAATAGTGTGGAGAATTTTTGTCTTAGAATCTGATTATCTATTTCAGACTTGTGACCTAATGTAAGATATTCTTCAATGAATTCCAAACACATACGACTAAGCTCTGGATCTTAAGATAAGCGTCGTTTAGGCAACGTAAGCCACCGATTAGCAACCTCGAAGGATCTATCAAGTTGATTATTATCTGACTTAAATGCTTACAAAGTAAGCTGATAATAGCTTGTTCTCTACAAAGCTGCAATAGTTGTGCTAGCTCGTCTGTTAAATCATTAATTTGTGAACAAGTATCGAGTAAAGCTCTAGACAAAAAAATCACGTCTTCTCGTTTTGACACTAAGGAATGGTTTTCGGGAATATAAACACTTTGGGGTCAACTAATCGATTTTCAAATAAGCCACAAACAGGTACACGAGCCTCGATTATTATTTTTGAAAACAGCTTTTGACTCTTATTTGGAGCCATCGCGTGAATCCTCCCATTTTCCTTTCCTTTGTTCATAAAAAGCTGAATAAGAATTGAGTTTGTTTGGTTATCATCTATTGACAGGAACAAGCTATATATGGTGTAGATAGTGCCAATCATTATTCTTAACGATTCAGCGGAAGGTTGGTCTTTTTTCGGCAAGTTTAAGAGAGCCGAAATATTTGCATTAAGTATTACATCATTGTCGTATACTGCCCTTAGGCTGTCTAATGCTTTTAAATAATTGTCCTTGGCGACTTGAAATGCGCTAATAGTTCATAGAGCTTTACCAGCAACATTAGAACATATCATTGACTTTAGGAGTTTATCACCGTAATATTAATACATTAATACACTACACTAAAGCTAACAGCAGGAAATCCCAATGCTTGGGAGCAAAACAAATTTAATTAATTAATAAACGATGAAATGGATTTAAATGTTTAAGTGCAAGGTGAGTTGAACGAGAACTAAAACTTACTATATGCCAGTCCGAAAGCAGACAGTGTGGACTCAAGTCTTTTATCAAAAACCGTATAGTAAGAAAAGGCTTAGAGAATTTAAAATTTGCAATAGCTTTATGGGAACCAGATTTTTTACTTATTGAGAGTGGGCAGAAAGTGCAGTATATACGCAAACATTATTAGATCTTAGGCTATAACTTCGATAATGCTATTCTGCTGTAGGCTTCTGCGCACACCCATCGGCTGGGTGGTAAGTGTTGTCTATCTTTTTTACAAAGGCAAACATTCTCCCTTATTAAAACGGCTGTTAACATTATTATATTTGGTAGCAAGGGCGGCTCTCGTACGCCTCTGCGTATGACTCCAGTTGCGGTCTGGATCAGACTAAGATTCCGAGATCAGCCTTAATATCTTAACCTACGCCACTGCTACTTCACTCTTCCTTATTTGGTACGAAATTAGTTTCGGTCGAGAATTTCACGAGAGATGATTGGTCCCAGTTGGAACCAAAGCAAGACGAGTTTTATGCACCATCGACAATTCAGCAGAAAGTTTAATCTGAAATACAAACTAGCTCCAATCAACATGTCGATTGGTTATGATTTGAAGAATTCACTTTTAACTATTTATATAAATGATGGAATGCTCTATGATGAGTATGCATGTGGAGTACTCCGACACTCGAGACTGGACATTAATGTTGACCGAAAAATATCGTATTCAAATGCTGCATCACCAATGACAGAAACTACTGTTGTTCATTTAAATTTGCTTCGCGTCGAGGAGCGCATGGCAGAGCATGAAGCAATCAGTGCGGTTATTTACATTGATGACTGCAGTGGCAAGTAGGACAACATCGTGCTTGAGATGCTGGCCGGAGGGGGTCGGCGAAGAAAAATTGCCGCTAATATGTTTTGGGACGATGAAGAAATTTGCTGTGTGTGCTCGGGTCTGCAAGTATTGAAGCCACAGACTGTAAGCAACTTAGACACAGAGCATAATTGAAAACAGAATGGCCTGCGACATCACAAAATACACATGCACACGATCTACTGTAGTGACTACAAATTTTCTGCTAGGACTGTTCTTATGGCCCACCTGGGAGCTAGGCGCGTACATTGTGTAGCGTGTTTTTTCAAAGCTTCTCGGTAAGGGCTGTAAGCTTCTTATAGAATCCAATAACGTCCAACGGCGATCTGTCCATCGGTTTAAGCGCACATAGATACGTCGATAACAGTTTTCCTTATCCGAAAATTCACATCGTTCTATCGTCGCACCTCTAACCACCTTTCTTAAGACCAGAATGTCAGCGATGGGGGCCTGGAAAATAAGAAATTGTTATTGAAACGCTTATCAATTAGTTCAAAGACGGTGGCATAATTAGCGTTTGACACTTCCATTGAAGAGACACCCGTAACCACCTATTGTTTGACTCAAACCTTGGCTGAAAATCCTCGTTAATTCGTCACATTAGATTCGCGAAGTCGTTTGGGATCCAACTCAGAGAAGAATCTATTGAGTCGAGCATTCAAATTCTTTGTTTTTTTTTTTTTAATTCTTTAGCGGTTTTCAAACGCCACCCGATTCACTAAAGTCGACAAGCCATAGCCACTTGCACTTTTACTTTCATCAAATATGTGTGTGGCGCACAAAAAGGTTTACCCAGCCGAACTACAATACAAATCTGCGCGCACAAGCGATCGTTTGAGTGAGATATCGTATGGTTAGTTTTGCTGCACGATTTTGTATAATTCACAACTGTATGCAGTTGTGCAAGCAGGCGAAAACCCCTGCACAGTCACATGTTTACAGAGCTCGGGTCTTAGTTTAATCAAAACATTTTTTATTTTAATTATATATCGCAGCTTTTAAATGGTACAGGTATTTTGGAGTCTCGTCTTTCGTACACAGATCAAAAAATGTAATCTAGTGTAAAATGTATGGTAGCGCTTTAGTGGAGGGATGTTAGTTGGTTCTTAGATTTCTAGTAGAAGGTGGTACGATGATACAGGGTGCGAAATGGAATATTGCCCTTTATATCATAATACCATACTTAACTTTTTAAGTAGTCACTCAATCCAAAATCTGTAAGGAATTCAGAGCTCTGGCCGTTGTATTATTTTTCATTACTAACATTACTTATAGAGTGAGCGTAGCATGTTTAGTACCTTTGGCAATTAGCGTGTTGAACCAGCCATGCATTATTGGAGGTTTTTTAAAGCAAAAGAACATTTTATTTTTACGCTTTTGTAAGTGTTTATTTATTTTATAAAGAACTCCACAAACTGTTGGTGTTAGAAGTGAACTTTTGGGTAATGAAGTAAGCCGGCTGTCTAATAACCTAATTGTATCATATCAATATTTGCTTCATTTTCACCACATTTTTAAACTGTTATGTACGTGAGGTATGTTGCCTACATGTTTTGCAATAAGAAACAACATACAGTATATCAGGAAATTGTAAATATGTTAATTTAAATGCTTTTATTTGTACACATTTCGTAATGATTAACGTATTATCTGAGAAGTGGTATCAAAGTACATATACTAGGATAGCAGCCTAAGTGTGTGGGGAAGCACCGCAGCAACTGACGTGCATTGCGTCATTGAGCATGGCGTTTATGCCAGAAACAGATACAGAGCCGAAAAGTCACTCCGAGCTATTATTACCGTTTTAGATTTGAAGCCAGCTGGATAAGGTTGGTCCGCAAACGCGAAATAAAGCTCATTTTCCATAGGAAGCAACAACAAATCACTAGCAAAACAACAACAGTGCGCACGAAACTCCGTTTTTTCTTCGTCGCCCGTTTTGATCGCTGAAATTCTATGCAAAATTTTAAGAACATAGGGAAATCAGTGCAAAGAAAGAGACAGATAATGCCGCTGTGTTTGTTGCTAGTCTCTCTGTCGTTCATACGAGGCAGCGCCTATAAACAACAACAGCACAATTTGTGTACTAAATTGTTGATGGAGAACCGAGTCCCGGTGAAAGTAGGTAGAAAATTCGAATGGCAGCAGACGATGGCATTCAGATCATTACGCTCACGGCGCACCAGCATCATATATTATGACGTCACTTTTCATAGAATTTTATTTCTTGTGATGTTTAGTATATATTTCTACCTTTATTACGTACATTTAATTTAATAATTTGTAAAATGGGTCTATTATAGTAAATAATTGATTGACATATGTAATAATTTTAAATACGAAATGATTGCACTCAACAAGCCTTAGGCTGTGACGTCAAATGGGCAACAGAATATTGCAATCTTCTTAAGTTCATAGACTTCCTTTGACCTGGCAGACACATACATATATGCAGATTTGCATATATGCATACATGCATGCATACATATATGCAGATTTGCACCACTATGTGTGAGATGAGACACACTTGCAACTATTAGGCGCGTCGTAGCATTGATACCCTTATTTAGAGAAATGGTTATAATGCTTAAAGAAAATAATTAATAATAATTCTACCAATAGTTCTACACAAAATACGAAATTATATTTTTCAGAGTCACTGGATAAAAATGTATATATGTATAAGAAGGTTTGTGATATTTGGTTACATCACTTATGAATATATGAATATACTCTATTTTGAAAATAGGTGCCTTACTGTTTAAAAAAGAAAAAAAAAACTGCCGAGCTGCTTTTAAGTTGAAAGCGAGTGGAGAACAAGAAGACACGACTTTGCGAATTATTGGCATAGCAGTGTTTAGAAAACCATAATAATTGGTTAGAAGGGTACAGAAACTAAGATCATAGGCTGTAGCTTCAAAAAAAAAAAGGATAGCAAGGACAGAATTTTTGGTGTGCTTTTTTCATTGTCGAGTCGTTTGTTTTAATTATGGTTGTTGTTGGTTCTAATGGAAAATGTTTTGAAATTGTGATTGAATTTTGAGCAGAAGTAGCTGCAGACAGCCGGGCGGTATGTTTGCAACCTCGGTAATTTGCTTCAGAATTTGTTAAAAAGAGCTTTTGATCCAAATTATGTCTCTGTATATTTATTACTCAAAAGCGTTTATGTATGAATTTATAAATGTAAATAGTAGGAAGATATGCCTTTTTTGATAAACTTTTAAGATGTTTAACTCGAATATAGCAAGAAGCGAATAAGTTATTTTGCTTTTGATTCGTTTTTAATAGAAATACGCACCATAATAGAAACGGACTGCTAGTTAGAACTTGATATTTTCAAATCTTTAACTTGTTTGTGACTCCACATATTGCTTGATCAGCATCAAGAATCTTTCTGGAGAAACTTTTGATTAATCCATCGAAAATGGGTCGAATGGGGCTTAATAGTATTTCCCAACATATGTAACAGGGGCATATTCTTGATTAGCACGAAAAGTCTTTTCATAGTTGGCTCCTCGAACTTGAAGGTAGACAGTTATTGTCCTTAGTTGTTAACATTGATTCTACACAAAAAACTTGTCGCGCACTTATGCATATATGTCCGTATACATATATAAACACATGAATATATACGAATATATTTGTCTTTAATGCATGCATTTTTTGCTAATGTACATGCAATATTGTATATATTAGGAAAAATACATAAGCCCTTTCCTTTATATACATTTAGATCAGTATTTTGCGTTAAATTTTATAATGTAAAGACTTCGAAACTTTATTTCATTTTAATTTGTACTTATACTTACGTACGTAAAAATTAAAAAAAAATCCGTACCGTATTTATTTTTGCTAAATTGAGAGGCAACTGAATTCCTATCAGTAATATGTATATGTATTGGAATAGACATCAAAATGAGCTTAGCTCCCGATTAGAAAATCAACGTGGCAAAAGGTCACATAGTCGATTTGTTTTATTTATTAACCCGTATGGGCCTATAATTTGCCTTGAAGCACACCCTTTATAACTATTTCGTTATTTAGTAAATTACTAATTACTAAATTTAGCCCTAACAAACAAAAAATTTGACAAGTATTAAATAATTATAACAATTAACAATTAACGGAGATGCTTCCTTCTAGCCGTTACATACATTTGCACCCTTTAACCCATTTTCAATGGGTTCAGAGTATAAAAAGCCAGAAGGAGGAATGTCCTAATGATGAGTTATTCTTGACCAGAATTAAGAGCTGCATTCATTTAGCCATGTGCGTGGATCTCAAAAACTATTAAAGGGAGATATACAACTGTGTGTTTTGACTGACTGACTGACTGGTTCGTGATCAATGCACAAATGAAATTTTTACTTCACATCACCTTACGTACCGCCATTTAACCCGCAAATGTGAAAGTGTTAGAGGGATGTTTTATACTATGCCAAATATCGAATTTTTCTTGGTATAAGTGGGGGTCTAATATTTGCAGTTGGGTGCAGTTTCTACTTCAAAT